TTTAAGAGAAATTTTCAACATCAACATGGACCACATTTTCTCTGACGGTGGATCTCTGTTAATGGGTTTAACCGACAGACAAATTAAGTATTTTATCGATTTTATTTTCAATATCGTCAATTATTTAATAATTCATGGAAATTATTACTTTTTTTAAAAATTGTTATTGTGATATTTACAACTGTATTAGTATAAATACATCAAGTAAATGTGTACAGAGGGATATAATCACATGAAAACGCTTGTTGAGGAACTACCCATTGGTAGTACTCTAATAACATGTCTACATGAGGAGATCACGAGGCCATCTTCTTTTAAGACACCTCGGAATCAAAGAGGAAGCAAGGTTAGGAACAAGAGGATTCGGATAGTTATGAAGTTTATTATGGAAAGATAAGTATCTGGATTGGGCCAAATCGGACACATATGGAACATGGAGGTCTATGGAAAACTTAGGAAATTTAAACAGCGTATAATTTCATAGCAATAATATAATTATAGCACTAGCATTAGACATTTAGGTGTTGGGTTCAATAAGGTTTTCCTATGATTATTACTTTGACTTACCTACATATGAAATATATAGTAAACGAAAGTATTGCTTTAGAAAGTATCGAAAAATTTTCGAATCTCAGTTTTCAACGGAATAAACGTTGTGAGGTTCCCTGAGTCCAAATAGAGTCCCGCAAAATCGTCTGTGTGCTAACAGCCCACAGTCAAGCCCAAAAAGCTAAAAGTCGTATGAAAATGAAATTACGTATTCAAGGTTTTTATATGCTTGGGATGTTTTTTCAGCAACATTTTCGTCAAAATCGGCTAACCGAAGTGGCACTTTATATCATTGACTAAACACATTTTTACGATTTTCTCGAAAATGGCTCTAACTATTTGGATTCAATTCATTATATCAGTGTGAAATCAAACAATTTTGAATTAAATGTAGTTTTTATTATGATTTATGTTCTCTAATAGGGCTTTAATGGCTAATTTTCATTAATAGCTTTCCTCAAAGTACCTTAAATTTTTTATATTTGAAACAATTGACCATTTCCCATTAATTTCTAATATAAAATATAGTTAAATATAAAATACGAAAGAATTTGATAATCAACTAAAGGAGAAACAAGAGATCGTAACGGATAATAGTTCTTTATTTTATTCTCTCTCTTCTTACGTAACAATATTTGAGCAAATTAAAATAAAATTCGATAAAAACAAATATTTAGGCTGGAGACTTCGTAACATGGTGTCATTTGAAATGTAAATCTGTTAGACAATCTCTTCTGGGATTGCGGCTACCCAAAAGGGACAAAGGGATACAGCTTGTTCAATATGTGCCCCACTGTAACTCCCTGCTATTGTATTCTATTATATCATTATTGTATTATATATTACTACATAATCCTATTTCGTAAGGGCGTAGAAACCTAATTCCTGCGGTCTACATACATCCCTTACAACTATTTACAAATAGTTTTCTATTAAACATTATTACTCATTATTGATTGTTATTATTTTTTTATTTTAGATGATTTTTTTTCGTCTTCTATCTAATCACATCATTTTTAAACTTTAAAAAATTCCTATAGTAATAATATTTATTACTATTCATCATAAACAATCTTCTTTAAGTTATTCATATTTTTTGAGATTTTTTTAAATAATTATTATATTTAATCTATATGTGATTATTTTTTCATCTTTTTTATCTCCCGATCTTTTTTTTTTTTTTTTTTTTTCACGGAACGGCCATAGAGACCACGCGAATATCATGACATTTGGCTTCTTTCTTGTTTTTCCTTTCTTTCCAATTCTCTCTCATTATCTCCGCGTGCCGCCGCTTTCTCTCCTCCGTCCACGCGACTCCCTTTCTCGAACTTTTCTTCTTAGCAAGAACCGTGATCTCCTTTAGTCTCTTACCATACCCCTCTCTGTCCAGACAGTCCCGGTCTGTTATTTGTATCTATGGATTTTTTGGAATATTTCCTTATTAAGTCTTTCTGTGGCCATTCTTACCATATGTCCGTGGAATTTCAGTCTCCTGATCCTTATTTCCGTTTCTAGATCTCTTTTGTCCTTGTATATTTCCTGATTGGATCTTAGCCTGTATCCTTCTTTTGTCTTTTTGGGGCCGTAAATCCTTCTTAGAATTCTTCGCTTCTATTCTCAACAATCTTTTATCATCCATATGAACCTTTTTTAAAATAATTAATTTTTTTTAACCTTTTAGCTCCAAGAGCCATTTTCAAAAATTATTTTTCTTTTTTTTTTTAAACATTAGTCATATTAAAAACATTATTTCTAAAATGTTTATCTCAAAATATATCTATTATTAAAATATATTTAATTATATATTAATTTAAATAATTATTTAATTATATATTAAAATATAAATGTTTTGTTTTCTTTTTCTTCCAAAATTTCACAAAATTTCTCTTGTTTTTCTCATTTCATCGAATACTTAATTTCTTTTCTTTTTTTATCACCCTCATTTTATCAGCACTGAGCCGTAGTCTAGACTTTTTTTTTAAAGAATTTTTGAAAATGGCTCTCGGAGCCGAAGCTTTAAAAAGTAATCATTTTTAAATTTTGTAAAAATATTTTAAGTGTATAATAAAAGACTGTGAGACTAAAAAGGATTTTTATGAACAAATAATCATATTTAGATTAAATATAGTAATATGTATTACTTTATTTCTTTTACGACCATTTCCCTTAGAATATTATTATAGGCAATAAACTGTGGGCTTTAGAGCCTTAAAGTCAAAGAAATAAAGTCTAATGGAATCCTCATAAATAATCTCATAAATGCTGAAGTAACTAGTAGCATTAAAAAAAACAACACTTAAATTAAGATAAAAAGGCTACAGAAATAACCTACATGATAGAGGAATATACTTTTATATCTTATATAACTCCTTGCATAGATCGCTGTAGGGAAATTGACTTCAACGAAAATTTAAAATTAGTCTGGCAGTCTCTGGAATGAAACTCAAGACCTATTTCGATGTTGGCATGCGCATAGTTAAATGGGAGGAAATATACTTGCCATGAATCGTAAAATGTGGCAGAAGGCATATGACTACTTCACTTAGTTTATATATTTGTAGACATCAATTTCCGTAATGCAGTACAGGATATCAATGGAAGTCTTAAACCGACAAATAAAAAAATAAATAAATTTCTCTAACAATCTACCAAGGTGTATATTGAAGTAAATTCTATTAGAATGTAGTGTATATATTCTTAAAATTAAAATATATTAATTTCATTTAAATATTCATATATATATTATATATATATATATATATATATATATATATATATATATAAGGTAAAGTATTGCGATCGTGAAAATTTTCGAATCTGAATTTTTAAGGTCTCCTGAGTCCAAATAAATAAGTCCAGCAAAATGGTTTGTGTGTCTGTGTTGAACAGTCTAGCTCAAAAACGAAAGATCGTACAAAACTAATATTACGTATTTAAGATAGATTTATGACTTGGACGTGGCAGCAACTTTTTACTTAACATCGGTTAACCGGAAGTGCCACTTTGTTTCAACGGTGATATACATTTTTACAATTTACTAAAAAACGGTTCTAACGATTTTGGTTAAACTCGGTGTATCATTGTATAATTAAGAGGTCTTTAATAATCCCATTGATGACACTTTACAGGCTTGAAAACTATAGGAAAAAATAAAAATGCTTATTTTATAATATTTTTTTAAAGTTTGAAAAAGTTTTTAAAACCCACGGATCCCAGGCAATGACATTGTTTAAAATATTATTTCATTGCACTTGTGTGAAAGAAGAAATATTTCATGTAAATATAAAAATATCTCATGGATACGTTTATAACCTTAAATACATTTACTGTAGTTTAATAAATCTAGATCTTATTTAATATTTAAATAGTTGGGTATCTATGGCCATTGGCTATTTCGAAAAATCATTGGCTAACCTTTTAGAAAATTAATTTAATAAATAATTTGATGAATTTTCTCGTTGTGATATTTCAACATTATCCACTTACAATTAGTGTGACAGCTTTTGACCAATCTATGGCAGGCAATGAAAATCTCGTCATTTCATCTTAGTAAACTTTACAATGGAAAAAAACAGTTTGATAACTTATAGTCCTACAAGCCAAGAACAGATTTTGACTAATCTCCCAAACTATTCTTCTCTTCATTATTCACTACAGTCAACCATTAACCAACAATTTACAATGATAGTTAATTAAAAGTAAAAAAAAAGAAGAAGAGAGAGAAAAAGACAAGAAAAGCGTATATATATATATATATATATATATATATACATACATATATATATATATATATATATATAAATATATAATATATATATATATATATTATATTATATATATATATATATAAGATAAACAAAGGAAACTAAAATAACAGAAATAGTCTTTGGAGGTACTTCATCAGTTCTCTGAGGTATATTTCGTAATCAGTCGGATTGAGGAAGGAGCAGGGGTTTAAAGATGAAGGAGAGGTTTGAAAGAGGAAACTAATTGTGCGTGTCGAATATCACCAGGGACGGAATTCCTGAGGAAGGCGACTTGTATTGCAAAGTATTTGTCAAACGCAGCAGTTCGGTGAGTAGGAGGATAGAGGTCGGAGGTTCGAAATCTAGTGGAACGGGATTGGATGGAGTATTTAAATTTAAGCTGTGAATAATATAGGTCGATGTGTTCTAACGATCTGGCACAGAAAGGTATCTAGGAAGTACTGACGGCGATATGATGGACAGAGCCACTTCAACTCGGTGAAATACTGGACAGTATGAGTATCTCTTGAGATTCCGAAAACAGAACGTAATGCGCAATTCAGTATGTATGAATGTGTATGTAATGAAAATAAAATATTTTACAGCACCAGTCTCGTTGTCTAAACCACAACTTGTATTTGGAAGTAGTTTGGTATAATTAATAAGAAGGAATTCCATTGGATTGAGGAGGGGTTTAGAACTATCTTACGACGGGATATATTTGGAAGAGCAGGAAGGCGGCAGGAACCTGGTAGTTTCAAGACAGAAAGAGAGCGTATAGTTTAGAACTAGAAGGCACTTTAGGAAGTTGCTAAAGGAAAGTCGGATGCCCTGGGAGTAAACTCAAACGAAACTATTCATCAAACGTTTTAACATGTCATCGAGTTTCCCAGCGAGGATCCCTGACATCCTTAGTCAAAGTAGGGGAAAACTGAAACTTTTCCTTCAGTGTCATAACCTAAGGAATTTCATACTCATGTTTGGCGGATAATTTTAATTATGAGAATAATTTAATTTAAGTATAAGTTGGCAATTAACATTTGAAGATAATTACCGGGAATGATACTTTGTATAATTAATTTTAACTTTTTCTTCTTTAAAGGCTCAAACAATTTAACTCATTATATCGATGTAAAATGAAATGGTTTTTAATAACAGTTAAATCTTGGTCCTCATAGAAATTGTAAGATAGGGCTTAAATTCCGACTTAAAAAAAAAAAAAACGTAAACCACAAAAATATATTTAATTTTGTTTATCGGAAATAATTATATGTATAAGTAAATAGATAAGTATGAACTTGGTCATTAACTTGTATTTATAAAATTTGGTAAAAACGACTTAACCCGACAACGTTTCGGCAATTCAGGCGTGATTAGCATACAAATATTTAATACTTGACTCCATTGGCTCAAACTTTCGATTTTGATTGGGAGGGGCTACGGACCAAAAAAAAATAAAAATAACTATGGCGGGAGTTTTTATTATGTGTTAAAATTATTTATAATTATTTTGAAACGAATAAATATAATATTGATAATATTTAAGATTAATTTGTTTATAAGTTTGTATAGTTGAAAGGATTTTCATTTTTATTTTTTTTTACATATTGTCTGTACCTAAAAATATTTTAGTTTTCTTTTCTGATTCTTTGTTTAATTTTTCAACAATTATATATATAAGTATCTACAATGTAAGTTGAAAGAATTGAAATCTAATTGCGATAAATGGCTCACTAGCACCAGAAGTTTCAGGCGTGAAGAAATTATGCTGTGCCATCTTTGGATTGTGCACTGCCAGTTAACACATAGCTAGCTATATTTTAAGAGGTCTAGAAGCTCCTACTTACGAAAAATGCAATAATACATCTCAAACTGTGAAATACCTTCTGGTTGAATGTCCACAATTCGGAAAAAAAAAGTAGATCTAGGAAACACCAAGAGATATTCCACTAGATAATGATGAGTGATTTTAAAAATAATTTTCGTATGTATTGCCTATTTTATTTCGTTTTAAGTGATTCATTAAGAAAAATTAAACTTTGAATTATAACTAAAATCATATAATCATATAATCATTTTATAACTTTTATAAGAATAGTAATACTTTAATTGTTACATGTATTACGCGTAAATGCATGGATCACGTACAATTAACAATACACTGGTTTCATACAGGGTTACTTTCTGAGGTAAGGATGAAATATGTATATACATGTATTTATAAAAGCTGAAGTAATAATTGTACACTTCATTAAGTGGTTCAAAAATAAGGAAAAAATAAAATAAAAATATGGTGAGAAATTAATAATTGACGGAAAGAAGTAGGTTTTTTTTTTTCGTTCTCACTTTTAAGCATATTGAAGTTGAAGCATTTTGAACTCGGGAAATAAAAGTACATCAGGACAAGTTCAAGTTTACTTTGAGTGGAACACTTAAAACTTACCTGAGTGTATGTCATCCAACAGCACGGTTCCACTTGGTTAGCGTCCAGCCCCCAGAACTCCAGCTCTTCTTCAAACAGCGGACCGCACACATCGGTAGGATAGTGAAGCTTGCCCGTCCTATAGGAAATATACACATATAATTTATTTTTTCAATATTAATGATATAATACAATAATAATAATATAATAATTCAAACACCTATTTAAAAGTAAATATAATAGAGTAATTCCAGTGAATAAACCAAACTTATATTCGAGTCCAGATATTTGGAACTGCTAAAAAGACTCACTTAAACAAACTTCAAATCTTTCAAGCAAAAACATTCAGAACAATTACAAAAGCACCTTGGTACGTTAGCAACATAACCTTACATATTGACCTCCATATGCCGACTGTTAACGAACACATACGAACTCATTACAAACGATTCCATGACAACATACAAGGACATCCTAATACACTTATAAATGACATGGCCACTACGAATATGCCAGGTAACGTCTGTAGGAGACTGAAGAGGAGCTGGATGAGGGACCTCCTCGCCTAATGTAGATATCACGCCGAGTGAGGTGCCGCTGGGCACTGATCCTCGTAATGCCTTTCATGACATTATTTTTTTTCCAACGACCTCACATTCACTGCTTGTCATTACCACTATGACAGGTGTGAATAAAAAAAATTAAACCAAAAAAAAAATATTTGAGTCCAACTGTGGTATGTTAATATTTATTGTACAAGAGATAAGAATCCTCACATAAGATGAATGGATTATGGGTTGAGTACTTTGTAAGTCGGAAGTGTTTCTTGATCATCGGTTTTGCAAGGAGGTGATTTGACTGAGATCACGCTCAAACGCCAAGTTTTTCCTCCTTTATTAATTATTTAACTATTGTTACCCACTTTATAGAGGCTGGGTGTGCCCCTGAAGAATCTTCTAACCCCTGGGTTGATCCACGGTTAACGAAACAGAATAAATAATTAATCTGCCATCAGCCGGATTCGAACCCGAGCACTAGAACTCAGCGAACTACCACTGAAATATTCTTCGATGTTATGATTTATTCACTAATCAGTAAACTATGCAAATTATTCCATCGGGGCCAACTTGTTATTAATAAATACGACTAAAAAATAAGATTTGTTTAAATAAAACTTTATAAATAATATTTTATATTGTAGTTTTAGTTGAATTGTGGCCTACAGATAGTTACAAGATCTAGTTTTAGAATCCGCTTTGCGGAGGACAAGGGTGGAATTTGTAATTTGTGGATTTGATATATGGCCCTATTCGACAGCGCCGAATGCCGCAGAATTATCAAGAATTCATGTTTGATAATTACTTCTGTTTACGGGGCTGCTAAATCAACAGCGAATATTGTCATTATTTCGCTCTAACAAATAGTCCACAGGCCCTTATGCCCTCATCCGATAACGTTACATGAATTGTTATTTGTTTTACAATGCATTGCAAAAGCTAGCATGTTTATATTGTAAATATAATCTAAAATAATCATAAATGCGTTTGTTTAATACATTTATAATTCCTTAAGAACTCTGTAAATACAGTTCAATAGATTATTAAATTTATTTCTATAATCGGGTCAGGGATTTACAGTGCTTAAAAACTCTATATATACTATATAGTATATCATAGATCATTTTGCAAAAAAAAAAAAAACAACCCAAAAATGAAATAAATAAAACGTGTCTAAATGGGTTCTGTAGTTCTCTCGGTAATAAAAGAACGTGATGTCCTGTTTTATATATATATATATATATATATATATATATATATATATATATATATATATATATATATATATATTAAAATTATTAAAAAAGGTCACTTATTAATTATTCAATAAACTACTAAATAATCATTGCTTCTGTATTTAATCAACGTTTCGATCCCGGTTTTTATAATTTAACAATCGGATCCTTTTCGAAGTTTTGAAATAGAGCCTCAATACCTCGGGCCAGGGACAAACCGACAGTCTCAGCACCGTCCACCAGCACATATATTAAGCTACTGGTATAATCATGTTAAAATATTATAATCAAAGGTCGATTGAATAAAATTTGTAAATATATTGTAGTTTTGAAAAATTAATTTATTCAGAAATAATATATTTTGCTTCACTTAGGGGACCTAATTATTACAGCTATCAGAGGCACATTGATACCAATAAAAAATATACAATATAATTTATTTTACTTATATTTCGGTTGTTTTTTTTTTTTTTTTTTATCACTACAATGGTTAGCCTAAAAATTATTTTAATTAATTCCTTTCCAATTTCATTTAGTTATTTTTATTTTATTCTTTTTATCGGCTAAATTGCAGTATTGTAACACCCTCTTGCTTATATGATTTCTTAAATATATCTTTATAGTTATATCTAGACTGGTCTTATTACTTATGTTGTAGTTATTATTATTATAATAATAGTTCTTTTGGCCAGATTTAATGTTAATTTATATAAATAATATTGTCATTCTAAAGAGACTTTATCCGAGAGTAAAGTTGATTTGTTTGTTTCTAACCTATTTCTAAAAATATAAAATGAAAACAAAGTGTAAAAAATAAATAAATAAAAGTTGAAATAAAATAATATGTTATATAACAGTATAGATTTTCAATAAAACAAAACAGACAAAAAATATTAATTAAATAAGGTTGGATAAAAGGATTTTTTTATATTAATGATTATAGAATTCTTAAGTATTGTTTAATTATTTATTTTTGAAAAATAAATAAAAAATTGCTCTTGAACAGTAAACCTGTAAAAAAGCTCAGTATATATATATATATATCATAGTTTACTTGCTATAATTACTAATTTCAAAATATGTGTGCTTATTATATATATATATATATATATATATATATATATATATATACTATAAACGCTTAAATGTTAAGTTAAATCCAAACACTGAACTTATTTGACCTGCCCTTTACCGTCCGTGAACTCTAAACACTGAGGTCGTGAGTTAAATATTGGAACATAATCGTCTTGATATATATATATTCTTTAAATTCTTTATTAAGATATATAACAATCTTTCACATAACATGTCTGATAATTAAAAAAAATGAAAAGTTTTTTAAAAAAAGAGATAGAATGGTTATTTAATTTTAAACTTTGTATAAGGATTGTTCACCAAAATTATTGAAAGAATTTAATTGAAAAAATACTTTTTTTTTCAAAGATTTTCATTCTCAAAGGAAAACAATTTGAGCAAAATTCTGCATTTTTGTTGACACTTTACGAATTGTACAATATCTGACTAACCCTACTTTTAAATAATGACCCATAATCTAAAGCACACTTTTTTTTATTATTTAGATATATAATAATCTGTCTCGTGGACAATAATTATAGATATATGAACACATTCACACCATATATACAGAAAATATAAAATTAACAAAAGTCAAATAATAACTAAATAATAATAATAAAAACTATGTACAATAAAAAATAAAATAAGCTAAAGATAAGTAAATTAAAAACATAAAAACACAGTCATGCCTATATACACTATATACAATAAGGCAGGGAACCCTAAGCCAGGCTTCTCTCTCCAACTATAGAAGGAAAAGCAGGACTCCAAGAGATCCCTGCGCTACTCTCTCAACGGCCTATGATAAAATAAAATATAAAAAAATCTCTCACCTGACTCCTACAACCATACATACTTAACTATTCAATTCAGTACGAAAAATTACATAGAATATGATCATATTTAAATTATTGTAAAGAAATATCACTAGTGCTAAAGCCAGTAGAGCAGTGCACACTTTACATCAATATTACTCTTTCAAATCTGTTAAGTTCTTACTTATCTTCTAAGTTCTTTACGTTTTTTTTTTTTTTGCTATGGCATACCTGTAGTAATTGAGGACTTGCGCGAAGACGCCGGGGTGCCTGTCGAAGAAGTATTCGTTGAGGATGGGGTCGTAGTTTGCGAGTGCTTCGGTGAGCCTGGACAGTCTGGTTGCGGGAATCTTCTTTAGGGTCGCCTTGTAGGTCTCGTGGCGGATGCCCCCCACGTTCAAGACGACCCGATTCTCCGCGTCCATGTTGATCAGGTTCATCTTCAGTCCTGGAACAAGAATTGAGGGATGTAATAGGATAGGATCTGCAAGAGATACCTCCTAAATAAATATATGTATTATAATAAGAATAATAAAAGACTTAGCGAACCCGAAGGTTCGATGCCGACACCACCAATCGCTTATTACAAACCTCCCTCCTCCGTTCACTGTCCAAACCCAGTCCCTTCAGATCGGCTTTAATGTAATCTTACCATCTGTTTACCATTTTGTACAGCAAACATTAACCTTTTAGGAATTATCTCGTTACTAAGCCTAAAAATTTTACAATTGTTTGATTCGTCGCGATGAAATTACCTCAATTATATTATCCGGATAGAGTTCACGCAATTCGGAGTTGTGTAATCGTCTGAACTCTCCGGTTAACTCATCCTTCTTCGGTCCGAATATTCTACGCAATACTTTATTTTTAAAAACCTAAAGACGCTGCTCATCCCTTAATGTAAGCGGCCAAGTTTCGCATCCATAAAGAAATGTAAGTAAGATAATGGTTTTATAGATTCTAATTTTTTTAAATTCCGGGACAAGAGGCGCGAGCTGAGTAGTTTTGTTACAGAAAAATAACAAGCATTTCTCAACTTCAGTCTAACCTTAATCTCTTCTTCAATTTCGTTTTGTCTAGTTATCGTAGAACCTAGATACCTAAACTTCTCTACATGTTCAAACATATTGCCATCTATATCAATATCGCCAGTAATATCGCCATTTTTGAAGCTAACCATATATTTTGTTTCATCGGCGTTTATTTCGAGCCCTAGTTCTTTACGAGCTTTCATTAACGTTGGCGTTTTATAGTTTTATAGTTTCCGCGTCTTCGCTTAACAGTACTAGATCATCAGCATAGCCCAGTACAGATGTTATCCCACCCAGATCCAACCCTTTTTCGGTACGCATTGTATAGATGTATAAATAGATGTATTACGCAATATTAATAACCTAAAGATAAAACCAAGATGGCAGTTGTGGCCCTGGTAGATATTATTAAATTAATAATAATTTATCGAAGTTTGTACTTGGATGGGTTAGCGCCCAAAGCTAATACCACACAAACCGAGATCGTTATGACGATTTCTTATAGTTTGTAAGAACCGTTAGACGACCAGTTGAAGTTATAACATTTTTTTTGTGATTGTCGAAATAAGATCATGTGAGGGACACAAACATTAAGCCACGAAACACAGCAGAGCTTAAATCTCTCGCATTGATCGGATGGAATTTCGACCAATAATGGTCTAATATTGCTCGTTTCAATTTCAATGTGGGTGACCAAACTGTTAAGCATTATTGATGTCAAAATTTACAGGATATAATGTGGCAAATCAATTTTGACAGGTGTTTTCGGTAAAGACATCATCCCCATAAACACTGCAAATTTTTCTATGAGCTTTTGCAGCACATTTATCTTTTTTAAAATAATACAACAAAATATACCGATAATGAATGATATTAGCTTCCATATTCACAGTGCAATAGCAAACACAATACTAAGTTAGTTTCAACAAAACTTAATAGAAATAGTTACCCTAACCACCTTAGAGATTTATTTATCACATAAGAAATGTATCATAGTGACATAAAAATAAATAGAAAAACCGAAAGGACTTATTTGCCAACCCACAACTTAGCGGTCTGCGGATGGTATGTAGTAGCGATTGGTGGTGTCGGCATCGAATCTTTGGGTTCCCTCAGACTTTTGTCATCATTATTATTTATTGTATTTCTATTTCGAAATCGAAACTGCTGAAATGTTGTGACTATCTCTAATCCCGATCTACTATCTTCTCTTTCTAAATGTTTTCTCATGTTGTTTGTCTGTGTCAGTTTCACTACCATTCTCTTTTCCCTTTATTCGCGCTTTGACAATGGACAACAATCAACCCCTATTTTAGCTTAGAGACAACATTGAGACTAGCTGATGGGGGTGGGATAAGCCTTCCAAGAACTGGTCCTATCTGTAATGCCCTACTGTAGTGCCCCGCTGAATGAACTTTACGATCCAGACCACTTAGGGATTGGACAATGCAGGTCATCGGGTATAGGGTCACTTACTACCAAACAGAGGCTACAGAAGCGAAAACAATGTGCGGTGTGTCTTAGTCCATGGTGACCAAATGGAAACGAAAAAAAACAAAAAAACACTGCAAATTATTTCACAATGGTTTATTATTTCCAAACAATTATACATCTAAAGTAACATTACCTTCCTAGTTGCAATGTGTATATATATATATATATATATATATATATATAGAAGATACAAACAAAAATGGAAAATAAGTATGAATAAAAATAGAAAACAAAGGAGAATATAGCATGATAAGGAATCATGAGTGTATAACAAACTAATAAAGATTACATTCGATAACAGTAGGTTAATAGATAAAGAAAATGAATGTTAACGAATAAAGAGATTGAAAATTGAATAAGTATTGATATAATAAAGCCAAATTACTACGCTATTGATATAGTTTTAGCTTTACTATATTAATTATTTATTAACAAAAATGTAGAACATTTGATTAAATTTGCAATCGGCAAATTTCTTTGCAATAAGCAAATTGTTTGGCAGCTTCACAGCTTCCCATGACGTCCGGGATATAAATCAGATCAGCAGGTCTCTTGGCCAACGCCTACGTAATCGTCGTAGTGGGCTGTACGGGTTCCTTGTACGATGAAGAATTTCTGTCACGGGATTTATGTTGTACGTCAGTCTTTGGTGAAAGTTATTGTATTTCTCTTTTGCAGTATCTAAGATTGTAGGTACGTTTAAGTCTTTATGTAGTGTATCATTTGCGACATAAAAAGGTGCGTCAACTATCCTTCGCAACATTTTTGACTGAAAGGACTGAACTTTTTTAATGTTGGAAGTTTTAGCTGAGCCCCACAGTTCTATGCCGTAAGTCCAAATTGGTTTAAGTAAAACTTTATAAAGGGTCAGTTGGTTAGTTAAAGATAATTTTATTAATAATTTTATTAATTATTATTTTATGATATTAATACTTATTTTCTTTATCTATTAACCTAAAGTTATCAAATGTAATCTTTATTAGTTTGTTATACACTCATGATTTCTTATCTTTTATCACAATCTGTTTACTTTTAACTTACATGCTATATTCTTCTTTGTTTTATATTTTTATTCATACTTATTTTCCATTTTTGTTTGTATCTTCTATATATATAATGCTTGATATTTAACTGCATTGTCACCCACTGATATCATCTTTTTATTTCTTTATCAGACTACTTTTTCTTATTTTATATCTACTGATATTCATTTTTTTTTTTCACTTGTTTTGTATCCTTTTTAGCCCTGATGAAGACCTGCAAAGCGGGTCGAAACGTCGGTAAAAAAAAAAATGTCTATAATTTAGTATTTATTATACCGCACCCCCCTCCCCCTCCTCTCTTCCTCCGATCAACTCCTTCTCATATCATATCACGGTCAACCATCTCTACTGCTATGTATTGTAAAGACCGCCGGTGGAATAATTAGTTTAAAGGTATAAACAAATAAACATTAAGGTAATTTAGGTATTACCTAAATATAAACATATTTAGGTATAAACCCAACATCTGGCGGTTGGGTACCTGACTGAGGGTAACCCATTAGGACAACCTTTTGTAAGTGGTAATAAAAACCCTTAAGGACCACCGACAAAGACCGACAAGTGTTTAAACAGGATCCCGAAAGACCTTTTCACACCTTCCACCAGAAATACCTAAGTCTGTACCTGCGGCTTTACCTTGGCCTGGGGGAGAGGGCGTGGTCATCCCTTAGGCTGAGGATATTCAGCCAATCAGCAAAAAGGCTGCCGAAAGAGAGGGGGAAAAAAGGTGGGAGATAGAGAACTTGGACGAGGACACTTTTTTTTGGAACTCGGAGGAGAGAGGACTTCTTCTGGGAACTTGGAGCTGAGAGGACTTGCTCTGGGGACTTCAAGCGGGGGAGTCGAGGGAGGAAGATGGAGACTGCCCGGCACTGAGGAGGTCCCTGATGTTTTCTTCCAACTTGGAGACTGAAGCCTTGGCCCTACCTGATCCATGTCCAGATGATCTCGACTTATTAGATAAGTAATCCCCAACAATTCCTTTTTAAAGATGTATAAATATTTAATGGCAACGTAATTTTCAATTCCATCCATCTGAATCATGCCTTCACAATCAATTGTATAGTTCATTAGTTTTTGTACATATAATGTATATAACATTCTTTCTCATCACTTGTAAATAAATATAATTTGTACATAAAAGTTATTTTAATCATGCCACCTATTTCTTTCATTATAAGCACAGGTAATGTTTGGTAATTAGTGAACAGATAAACACACAAGTCTTTGTGAGAAGTAATCCAATAGATGAATTAAGGACCAATATGTCAAATGACATAATTTGTTTAACTAATATTTTTATTAATTAATTCTGGATAATTATCTTCAATAATTACCAGTGGCATCCCGTTATAAAAATCTACTATCAAAAAACATTTTGATACGTAGCAATTTTGTTGGGCACACATTCGCTAATTCACTTTTTTAACAAAGATTTCTCTGTAACTTCGCGATGGATCTCTTAAAATCACGATCGGCCACAGATGAGGCAACAGTTGTGGAATCACAGTCCCCCTTGGCTGAAAGGATCCAAGCCATAATGGATGATCATTTTAAGAAATTACGAGTGGAAATTAGGGAAATCTTTGGTAGATTAGAAAAGAGAGCAGAAGATGGGGCAGAACTTATGTAGGAACATGGATGACTGGGCTGCGAGCATAAGAGCAGATACAACCCAAACTAAGAAAAATATCCATGATAATGATGAAGAAGAAACAACCGATGCATTAACGAAGTCCATGAAAGAAGATAAAGTTAACGACATTGAAGAGACAGCTTCTGAAGAAATAGAAGACCATCATGAAATTGAACCCTTAGTAACTATGTCTTATATCAAGGAAGAGGGATTACCAAATATTTATGACGGTATAGTTAATTCTGATATTTGGTTCAAAGAAGAAGTGAATGATGAAAATACTACTTCCTCTGACATTGGGAATAAAGAATTATATAATGAAACTGAGTCCTCTATAATTGTTAATTTAGATGTTTGCTTTGAAGAAGAAAATCTAATGAGCCTGAACTCCTAGAAGAAATAGAGGAACATCAGAAAAAAGAATCATATTTCGAAGATACTGCAAAAGAAGTGAGACAAGAAGAAATCATAGGGAAAATGAAACCCATCAGATTCAAACCTATAAAGGCATGCGGGTAAACATTTTAGGTTCAAATAATACTATATCAGCAGAGCAACCTACGGTAGTTTTAACACCAATAGCTAAAATGAGAACATTTATTCGGATTAAAGAATTAGGCAAATTAAAACGTCGGAAAAATTCGAGGGTAAAATGTTTCCTTTCAAAAATGAAAATGATTCCTGTGGAGCCAGAAAGCTACCTCAGGGGGAAGGTAAGAAAAAGGAATCAATTGTAATTACCGGTTGATCATTTGGCATTAAAAAAACAATAGAAAACGGACAATGGATATATATAGACGGAATTTTAAAGTAATAAAAGAGACCAAATACTACTTAAAAAGAATAACCAAAATTCATGACAAAACTATCATATTCTTTAATAAAAATAATTTTTACTATGATTGAAAAGTTATAATGACTTGCCATAAAATATTTTATGAAAAAATATATTAAACGTGGGAATAATAGTCCTGTTTGTCAGTGTAACACAGAGGGACAGGTAAAAAATTGTGACATTAGTCAATAAGGCTGCAAAGGCCTATCAGCTACCTGAGACCCACCAAGACAATTGTATATATGTAAAGAATTAACTTTAGTATTAAAATATTTGTATTGATGTGTAATAGTATATAGTATAATAACATAATAGTAAGTATTTGTAACATAATAAGTATTTGTAATTGGAATAGCATACGTACAAAGAGGAAATTATAGTTAGGTTTATCAACGTGTAAAAACATTGATAAATGCCAGGTTTAGCAAGAAACGCTAATTTAATAAAACTAGCGCTATACCTCCTTGAAGTTGCCAAATTGCGCGGTAGTCTTTGTCCCATTCCAGAGGACAAAAAGGGGTTTTTTAGCGTCCCTTCCGTTGACGAGCTAATGGGTCCTGGCGAAACCATCGTCAGGTTAAACATTCTGGATACTTGTAAATAGATTGTAAATAAACTGTAAATAGGACGCGGTAGTCTTTGTCCCATTCCAGAGGGCAAAAAGGGGTTTTTTAGCGTCCCTTCCGTTGACGAGCTAATGGGTCCTGGCGAAACCATCGTTAGGTTACCCATTCTGGAAAATTGTAAATAAGTTGTAATTAGTTGTATATATGAGTTTGTAAATAGGATTTAGATTTAAATAACAAATTTAGATGGCTGAATGGAATGAATCACAGGCTGTGCTGACCAAAGTAAATTTAAATTTAAGTATTCATACTATCTTATGATAATAGTTAAATTAAAGTAGAGGTAAAACCTTTTTAATAACCGATTTGTGTTACTAAACTTTTATTAGAAAAGAAAAAGGGAAGGACCGATAATAAATCATTATTAAATAAAGGGATAAAACTTTTCATTTTAATTTAAATGTACAGTGGCCAGATTGATGGGAGTAAGATCTAGTTAAAATTATATTGCCGTAGTCCAAAGTTAGCGTAGACGAGCACCCCCAAATTAACTTCTTAAGGAAAATTGGACCATTTTGTTTTTAATCCTGTTAGGATTTAGTTTAAAGGAATAGGGAATAGTTACCCTCAACTAGGAGTAGACATAGGTCCTCCTCATCACCCGTCGGGTTGATAAATTTTATAGAAGGGAGAACCCTTTTGATGGAATAGCTGTAGTGCATCCATTCATCACTAAGTGTGATTGATAATAAATAATTAGGAGAAGATAAAGAAATCTTCTATAACTATACCTCCAGAGGACTGAGGTAGTATGTGTATGGATCCAGAAGTTAGATTTAAAAATTATAATGGTAAAGGGGGCTGAAGTAATATAGTTCATCAT